CTTTTACGTCACCCAATTGTCGTCGCATGCATGTATATTCGACGTAAATAAAACGCGGTGGCAATTTTGTAAATATGGGACAAAAATTTTACGTCGCACATCCCAGCACGCGACGTAAAAAGCCTCTTTTACGTCGCACCTGGGAGGCGCGACGTAAAAGATGGCCTTTTACGTCGCGTACTTGGGGGCGCGACGTAAAAGCCTTAGCTTTTACGTCGCACCCCCGATGACGCGACGTAAAAGGCCATCTTTACGTCGCGCCCTCCAGGTGCGACGTAAAGATGGCTTTTACGTCGCGTGCCTGGGATGCGCGACGTAAAAAGTCTATTTTATTTCCCTCCGGACCCACTTCCTCGTCTCGCGCAACCAGGGTTTTTGAGAACGACGACGAGAACGACGACAACAGCTACCTCTGCACACCATTTTCGAGCAGTTTTACAGTGAAAAACATCTACATTATCGTGTCATTTGACGAACTTGATCTTTCTGCCCGATTGGAATCGAGTTTGAAATCAGTTTTCGTCTACACTCGAGGTTAGTGTTCTATGTCCCGTGATTGTTTTTGGGGATCTCAATCACGTTATAGTATGAATGTCTCCACTGCATTGTTATTGGAATGTAATTATTTGTTTATTTGTTTGAGTGCATTCGATTTACACACTCCATTGTTGTTGGAACGTGATTTGTTGTTTGTATATTAATTTTTTTTACATATAATTTTTAAATCTTTAGGAGTGACGAAACTTTATAACATAATATGAATCGAAGTTGGATGAATGCACGTCGTATTAGTGAAGAATACGAAAAGGGAGTTGAGGAATTTTTGAAATTTGCTAGTGAGAATGGAAAAGCTACGAAAAGGGAGTTCCATTGTACATTTCCTTGCCCGATGCTTTAGAAATTGCTGGGGGAAATTGCATGTTAAACATTTCCATCATACAATTGTGGGCAATGTAAGTCATTTTCATTTATGTTTCTAAGATTATAATAATTATATTCAACTTATAATTAATTGTTTTAGGTACCTTGACAATTTGAGTGTGGAACAAGAAAAATCCGAAGTGTACGGATTTATTGAGCCTCAATCCATCCAAAAATCTGGAAATACAAAGGTTGGAATCCAACAATATATGCAAACATGGATGAGTGACTCAAGAAGACATATATATTTGGCTCCATACATTGAAGGGTTAGTATTTTAATTTGTATTTTAATTTATATTTTTGTAACTAATTTTTATGTCATACAATGTAGGTCCCATTGGCAGTTAATTGTAATCATGCCCCGGGATTACACTCGTGGTGTGGTTTTGTTCATTACATCGGAAACCGAGTCAAGAAATGAAAAGCTTATTACAAGGATAACTTTATCTTTTATTCATTAATTATGTTTTTAAATTGTGAATACATATTGAATAATATATGACTTTTTTCACTTAGAATCGTATCCGGAACTAATGTTCTAAGTGGAAAACCTAGAACAAAGACTTTGCAGTTCATTTATCCTAAGGTTAGAAACTTATTTATATAAGTGAATACCATAATTATTGTTTGTATTTCAATTTTGAAAATAATATTATGCTTTTTTCATCATTTCAGTGTAATAAGCAAACTGACTCGTTTGAATGTGGTTATTATGTAATGTATTGGATGAGAGCCATAGTTTGTGCGGGTTTAATTGATTCTTGGACTGGAGGTAATTACTTTTAACATTAGTTAAGTTTATTTAACTTTATTCATGTTGCATGCTTACAAGAGTCAAATTCATGTTTCGAGTATTTCAAGATCCATCTCCATTACGAGAATGCGAGATTACGAAATTAGAGAACAATGGGCAAAATTTTTTGTTCAACAATTCTAGTACATTATTTTTTAAGTTCTTGTTCATATTATATTGTGTGTACCCATTGGTAGTTTAGTTTAGTTTGTATAGGTAGCTTAGTTTGTATAGGTAGCTTAGTTTGTAATAGATTTTTTAGTTTGTATGTTTGTATTATATTATTTTATTATGTAGTTTGAATTATATAATATTATATTTTTAATTTACTAGCTAAAGAAAACTGAACCTCTGGACTGTCTGGATTACTATTTGCAGGTTTTAGTTGTAAAACAGAATAAATAAACCCAATTTAAAAAAAAAAACAGTAAATTTACGTCGCATATTGGTATATGCGACGTAAATTTACGTCGCATATGGTATACGCGACGTAAATTTACGTCGCATATACCAATACGCGACGTAAATTTACGTCGCATATACCAATACGCGACGTAAATTTACGTCGCGTATTGGTATATGCGACGTAAATTTACGTCGCGTATTGGTATATGCGACGTAAATTTACGTCGCGTATACCATATGCGACGTAAATTTTCTGTTTTTTTTTTAAATTGAAAAGGTTTTTACGTCTGTTTATTGTAAATCTACGTCGGATCTTGATAACTGACGTAAATCTACGTCGGACAAAAGGGTCCGACGTAAATTTACGTCTCCCGCTTTAACGTCGGACTTAAATACGACGTAAAAAGCCCTAAATACCTGACGTAAAAGCCCCTTTTTGCACTAGTGGAAGTATGCCATAGATATTTTGGAAGAAACTGGGTTGATGAGTTCAAAGTCTGTTGATACACCCATGGATCCCAATACTAAACTTCTACCAAATCAGGGGGAGCCTATATCTGATCCTGAGCAGTATAGAAGATTGGTTGGAAAATTGAATTATCTTACAGTTACTCGTCCTGACATTTCCTTTGCGATCGAGTGTGGTAAGTCAATTTCTTAATTCACCATGTGAAGATCATTGGAATGCGATCATTCGTATCTTGAAGTATATTAAAGGATCTCCTGGAAAAGGATTGTTATATGCTTCTAATAACCATACAAGAGTTGTTTGCTACTCGGATGCTTGATTGGGCGGGATCTCCTTCGGATAGAAGATCTACATCCGGATATTGTGTCTCCATTGGTGGTAACTTGATTTCATGGAAAAGTAAGAAACAAAGTGTTGTGGCAAGATCCGGTGCGAAGCGAGAATATAGAGCTATGGCCTCGAGCTTCCTGTGAACTTGTTTGGCTCAAGCAATTGCTTAGAGAGTTACAATTTGGAGATGTCACTCAAATGACACTTGTGTGTGACAATCAGTTGCTTCTTCATATTAGTTCTAATCCTGTCTTTCATGAGAGGACCAAACACATTGAGATTGACTGTCATTTTATTCGAGAAAAGATTATGTCCGGAGATATCAAGACTGAGTTTGTTAACTCAAGTGATCAGTTAGCGAGATATTTTTACTAAATCTTTACTGGGGTCCTAGAATTGATTATATTTGTAACAAGCTTGGCACATACGATTTGTATGCTCCGACTTGAGGGGAGTGTTAGATATTGTTTATATATTATTTGATATTGTTAATATATTGTTAGATATTGGTAACCACAATATCAAACAATATCTTCTGTTTATTCTGTTACTTTCAGTTACTCTTTTAGTTGTATTTCTCTACTATAAATAGACCACCCTATGTGTGATTTATACACAAGGGAAATTAATTCCAAACTATATTTTCTTTATATTCAACAATGTCTAGCATAATATTTGACTAATGGCATGAATATGAAAGAAGAGTGAAGTGTATGAAAGCAAAGAAGGTTACTTTTGTGTTCAACTTACCTATGTTATGTGTATGTGGACGGTGTGTAGTTAGTTAGGTTACCACATCCTCACATCAAATTCCACAACCATTGCTTCACCAAGTCCCATGTATTAATTTACTATATATAAACTTTAATAACATATTTTATTTCTATTACAAAGTTAATATTTTTAACAAAGGTATAATAACACTGATTTTTTATTTTATAAATTTTGATCTTTGAGAAAATTGTGTGAAAAAAAAAGTATTTTTATTACTTATATTTTACTATGATAATTATTAGTTAGAAAGATTTTGATATTGCTTCTTGCTTTCAAGTAGATGTAAAAGTCAAAAGATATTTTTTAAGAAAACCTTTTAATAAGAGTTATATAGCAATAAAATTAAATATTTTATTATGAGTCTTATATATAAATGGTTTAAAATTTGATTATAATTATTTTTATAAATAATTTTTTATTAATTTTAAATAATTTTCTCCACTTTTAAATCATAATAAAATATTTATTTTTATTTTTAAACAAATTTTTTATAGAATTACTTAAAACTAAGAAAATTTAGAATACACATTAAACAATAATATAAAACTATTTTATATCAATATGTAATTTAATTTGTTTTTTTCATGACAATATAATGACTCCCATGTTGTTTTTTTCAAAATATCATAATTAATTTACACATAAACTAATTATAAGAAAATTATACAATCATTAATTAACGTGTATATTTATGCTTTCTGTTTTAAGGTCATGCATCTACATGAACAGTAGCACCAGTAACAGTACTCGGAACCTGTCTTCTACTTTGTTGAAACCAAATCAAAGAAAAAAAACCCTTCTAACTTCTTAAATTTTTAATGGAATTAATTACTTTTATTCCATTTTCATATTATTCTTTTATATTGCCTACTATAATATATAGAGATTCTTTTATTTTATTTTTCATTTCGAATCACCTCAAAATCAGGTCAACATTGATATTTTGCTTCTATGAAGATCTGGCTGAGAAGACTCACTAGATTTTCTTCTCTGTCAGTGATGACAAGACGAAGGTGGAGGATGCACTACATTTGATTTTAAAATTTATTACCTTGTGATGTTTTAAAACTAAAAAATAAAACAAATTATTTTAATCAAACAGTTGATGAAAAAAATTAATTAAAAACAAACAAAAGATAAGAAGTTACGTAATATTCTGTGTATAAAACTTAAACAAAAGAAGTAATATATAAATTCTGACATCAATTACTCTGTAATAATAAAACAACATCATGTTAAACAAAGTTACATTAGTGATACTCTTCATTTAACCAAACATAATCACTCGTAACAGAGAGAGAAATCACTATGTAATGAACCTCTTCGCAGTGGCTCTGAATGGACATTTGGAGCTTACAAATCCATCAACAAGGTGAAGATAAGTGTTCAACTCATGACATGTGGCAACGTCGGTGCTTCTAAGGTAGGGAGAATCCCTACTACAAAGCCGAAGCTCCTCCCCAACCTCAGCATACACCCTCTCTTCTTTCTCCATCATCTTCTTCATCCACTTTTGTACTCCTGACACGTGGACACTTTGGCTTCTTGCCACGCAGCCCTCATGGAACACAAACCCTGGAACTTTGGTGACAACATCATCAGAATTTACTACACGTAAAACCTTAATCCCTTGATTCTCCATATGCTCTCGGAAGCCTCGGTTTCCAACACGTGGACCGCCGAACGATAAGACAGTGGTCATCGGCAACCGGAGAAAGGTGGTGTTGAGGTCATAGGCAGTGAGAGTGGCTAGGGCTGCTCCAAGACTATGACCGGTGACGGTTAAACTCAACGGTTCACCGGCGTAGGTTTGGAGAATCTGATGAATCTCTTGGCGTAGAATGTGTTGAAGACTGATAGTAGAATTACATGGAGAAGTGTAGAGACTCAAGAACCCAGTTTCAACCATTGGGGGTGTGGTTTGATCCTTGGGAAAGTTTCTCAATCTTTTGCATGGCATTGGGAGGTGGGTGAGAGTGGCACGCAAATTCTCAAGCCATTCCAAGCATGTGGCTGTTCCTCGATATGCAATAACAATGTCTCTACGACCTAGTCTTTTGATCTCTTCCTTGTTCTCACACACTGCCACATAGCCAATGCAGCTAGATTGGGTTGAAACCCATGTTGGTGCCTTGTTCACCCAACGAGGTAGGTCAATACCCGAGGTTGCATGTAGGTGTTTGGTGACCTTGTACCCTGTGTTTGGGAAACCACACTTGTCAAAAAGTGTGGTTTTTGGGAACTTGCAAGAACCGTAGGAGGGTGAGGAAGGGTCAAACTCGAAGGATTTATAAGCAACACTCACGAACTGACCATACCTAAGAATTTCAGCACGTAAAGTGTCATCCAATGGGTCAAGTAAACCTTCCCACTTGTTCACGCCTTGATACTCCATCCATCTCTTTCCAACTTTCTTTGATCTCCAACATAGTGACAATGATGATGATGATGATGATAAGTTACTATTTTCTAACTTATTTATGGTTTTCTCAATTTTATGTGGCTTCTTTATTTTGTGTGGTTTCGATGGTTGGTTAATCATGGTTATACTCTCAAGTTTCTTTACGTTATTGATCGTCGTTGAAGTAGGTACTAGAGTTTGAGAAGGATATAGAGGTTTCATTGGTGTAAGCTTCATTGTTGTAGTAGAAGGGGTTTATCAATGGTAAATAAGAAGTGGAAATAAGAAAACATTGAGAATAATGGTTTTTATCATTAAGAATAGATATATATACATATCCAATATAGTAGGCAGGAGGAGAAATTAATTTCTATGATGAAAACGTGTAATCTTAGCACACATAGTGTTCATATAGGAATAGTTATCAAAATTCTAAGAACATCAAGGAAAATTTGCAAGGGTTGCTATATTTTCCTCTATTACCAATTTGATATATCTTGAGTTTTTATTATATTTATGTTAGTATATAGAAATGTTATTCAGTGCAATAGTAACGAAATTTGACAAATTAAATCGACATTTGACCATAAAGACTTGAACGATCATATATAAATGCATGAGGGAGAGATACAAAATTGTTTATATTGAAACTCATTTTTTGTGTCAAAATTTTCCTCCTAATCATGTTTTTTTTTTATATCTTCATTAGGCAACTCCAAGTGAAATAATGTATTATTATCTATTAATTATACACACTATATTGATATATGTGCTTAAAGTTATGTTATAGAATCAATTATTAATACGCATAATTTGTTGTATTAAGCAAAAGATTAAGATATATGTGATAGTAATTGTGATAATTATGAAAGAGTAATATGCTAATATTATTAATGCAAGAACGTATAGGGTGGGTTTGTTTGCCTTATCAAGTACAAGTTCACGTTATCACGCATATACATAGGAGGCTGCTATATTAGACTCACAAATCCATAGTGGAGAATTGCCTAACTTCATGTTCTATATATCATGATTCATCATCATAATATTCACCGAATTCTAATATATAAAAGGTTTAATGTCTTTGTTATTATTAATTTTTTTTGTTTTTATATTTTAATCATAATTTTAACATGTTTTTTTATATCATTAATTATAATGAGTAACAATGATGTTCATGAACAATGAGGAGGTAATTACTGTTTAGAGTTGATGACTATTTTAATAAATATTTATACCTATAATGAAAGGATATTTTTTTTACTCAATACAAATAATTAAAAAAAAATTAGAATTTCACGTTGATATCATATTAAGGTTTTAATATAAAATAAATTGAATAGTCTAACCAATATTTATACCATATTATATACATTAACATAAGATAGGACTTTCAAAAATTAGAAAGAAAAATAATATCACAGCTTTACAAAATTAGTGTTTAATTACTCCAAATGATAATTTTATAAATTTATTAGGGTTTTAGGAGGTTCATATGTAGAAATTAGTGTAGATTAATATCCCAAAAGTGTTTGAAAACAGAAAAACACATGATATGTTGGACTTCTATTTTCTGAAATTGTTTTTAGTTTTAACAAAAGGGTGCATGTAGGCCACAATTGTTTTGGACAAATAAGTATATTTTTCACTACTGAATTAATATAGTGATTTGTTAACTAATGACTGAATAAGCAAAATTAATATTTTTTAAATAATGTAGTTGAACAAGTTAAATTTAACTAAAGTTATCTAAATAAAATTTAATTATATATTTATTATTGTTCATGGACAAATTTAACATGTAAAAATAAATAATAAAAATTGTATTTTACCAAAATAATAAAGTAATAAAAATATTTTAGTACAATTTATTATATTAATATCTATCTCTTTTAACTATTATAATTTTACCATATGTATAAATGAATTCATTGTTTATTTTTATCGTTTTAAAAAATATTTTGATTCAATTAATTTTATTTTTTATATAATTATATGAATAATTTTGTTATATTTTTATTTTTGTTATGAAAATATTTTGAAAAATATAGTAGTAAATGCTTTATTAATTGAGTTTATGTATAAATATTAAACTTATGTAACTTATGAGTTTAACTGAAACTAAACTTAATTCTTTTTAATAAATTTGTTATTCAAATGTGTAAATAAAAAAACCATGATCAATAAAAAAAAATTGTAATGCAAGGAGTGGATGTAAATAATTATTTTAGGACACGTTGCATAACTTAAAAGGATAGTTTAATCTAAGACGTTTATAATGCTCCAACGTCATGATGTTAATCCCTTCTCCAAAGTCACCAAATCCATTCCCAATAAACACATTGCTAATGAATGCAAAAGATTTTTTCATTATTTTTCAATCACAATATAATAAATTTATTAATTACTAATAATAATCTTACAAGTTATATTAATGATGATTTTTATTAAATAGAAGTATAAACAAATTAACAATGCATAAATAATTTATCCAACAAGCCTTTCTTTATTCTGACTAAGTACCAAGCATAAAATTTTGATTCTATTACATTTAAGTGCAATCCTATTTTTTCTAATTTAGTGAGCATTTGGTATTCATAAGATTCTAGTCATAAAAATTCAGTTGCTTTCCCCTTTAATAATTACGAAATATAAAAATCTATTGACACAACATTAATTAATATAATTTAACAAAGAAAATTTAAGTTATCATTTTTAGCATTATTTTCCTTGTTTATTTGGAGTTAAATATTTTATACATTTTTTTCTTCACTAATCTATACCCTTCAATTAAATTTAAGCAAAAGGGTAGATTTAACAACTGAAAAGTATCAAGGAAACCAAGATGACAATCAAATTAACATAGAAAGATAATGTTCAATTCACTACTACAAAATATACTTTCTACGTCGTTATTTAACGTCGGTTATAGCTGAGACGACGTAGAAAGTACTTTCCACGTCGGTTCTCAGATGAACCGACGTTGAAATTGAATATTAAACACATTTTACGTCGGTTCTTAGTCAACCGACGTAGAAAGTACTTTCTACGTCGGTTCCCATATGAACCGACGTTGAAAGTCTTTTTTTATTTTATTTTTTACTTACTGATAGCGGTTATAAGGGAACCGCTATCTAAAGTGTATATTAGATAGCGGTTATAAGGGAACCGTTATCTAATATACACTTTAGATAGCGGTTATAAGGGAACCGCTATCTAATATACACTTTAGATAGCGGTTCCCTTATAACCGCTATCTAATGTGCACTTTAGATAGCGGTTCCCTTATAACCGCTATCTAATATACACTTTAGAACCGCTATTATATCCTCTCAATTATGATCGATCATTTCAAGTTATGATCGATCAGAATCTAATTTCGCTCGAGCGAGGGTAGTGTCGCTCAAGCGAAATACAACCCGAGAATGCTAATTTTGTGCAGGGGGCATTTCGCTCGAGCGAGAAGGGTGTCGCTCAAGCGAGATACATTTTAGATAGCGGTTAACCTGGAACCGCTATTATATTGTTTCAATTATGATCGATCAGAATGTAGTTATGACCGATCAGAACTATTTTAATCGATTAAATCTCGTTTCAATCGATTAAAACAGTTCTACACAGCGTTTTAATCGATTAAAACTTATTTTTATCAGTTAAAATTACTTGAAAAGTGTCACGAGAAAGTTTTGCAAGTATTTCAATCGATTGAATCGCTGAAACAATCGATTAAATCAACTTAGAAGATTTTTTGTAAAGTGTTTTAATTGATATAAACGTTGTCGTATCGGTTAAAACAAATCTGTTAAAGAATCAAGAACGTATTAATGGATTAAAAGAAGTTTTAACAGATTAAAACTGCACTTTTAACAGATTAAAAGAATCTTTTAACAGATTAATTAAACCAGCAGTTTTGAAAATCTTCTATAAAAACAGTTTGGCTTGAACTTTTTTAACATACATTGAATATATCATCTTTTACACATCCTTGAGCAATCAATCAATCGCTAATTGCGACCGAATTAAAGTGGGGGTTGGCTCGAGGTTAGAGTTCGACGTCACTAGGGTATGCGTTAGGGTTCGAGCTCCGCTGGGTTTGCGTTGGGTTTCACGAGCATGACAATTGGGTTTGGCTTGACATTGGGGTTCGATGTCGCCAGAGTTGGGGTTCGGCCTCGAGTTCGTCGAGGTTGAGGTCGAGGTTGAGATTCGAAGTTACTATTTGACATTTTTCTAGTAGTGAAATTTACACGGATATATATTTATTTGTATATAAATATAATTTATTTGTAAGTTATTATCAAAAAATTCAAGTAGTTTAGTGGTTGGAGTATCGACCTCCAACTCTAAAGTACTCGGGTTTGAATCCTGCCAATGACAATTCTCTTAAAAATTAAAAAACTTCTAAAAAATATAATATAAAGAGATGGATGACCTAATAAAAATATAATATGAAGAGAGGGAGACTTCTAGATAAATAAAAGGGGGTAAAGGGGTTGTAAATAAATAAAAATTATTAATTTAAAAAATCATACTTTCAACGTCGGTTCTAATAAACCGACGTTGAAAGTCGACTTATAGATAGCGGTTCCCTTATAACCGCTATCTAAAGTCTATATTAGATAGCGGTTATAAGGGAACCGCTATCTAATATACACTTTAGATAGCGGTTGTAAGGGAACCGCTATCTAAAGTGTATATTCGATAGCGGTCCCATTATAACCGCTATCTAAAGTAAAAACTTTAACGTCGGTTTTTTAGAACCGACGTTGAAAGTTACGACTTTCAACGTCGCCTGATACAACGTCGATTATTAAACCGACGTTGAAAGCCTTCCAGAACCGACGTTGAAAGCTTTATTTGTAGTAGTGATTTAACCTATTTAGTAGCGATACATTGCATATATTGCATTTCTTATCTTCGGATGCCGACAAAAAACCAATAAATCACACATTCTTTTTGTCTTTAACTTTGGGTAGTCCTCCAGAGAGAATAGTGTAAAACATTTTTGTGAATCTGTGTAGGAAATATATAAATAAATTATATATTTCAGTTTTTAGAGAAAAAGAAATTTAGAGAGAATATATTTGTACAAGGAGAATTTGATATTTGATGGATTATGCCTTTTTTTTCATTATAAGAATTGAAAATTTCACCAAACTAATATTCGAATCTAAAAATATTATATAAAATGGAATCCAAAGATAAAACAAAGGTTCACACCTATAATATTCGGTAAA